CATTGAATTGGTAAAAGAGAGCTGCAATCATGAGAGATGTTTATCCCCTGGGTTTTGAATTGGTAAAGACCTTTTGCCCTAGATAACTCTGGACACCTGATTCTAATAAAAATGATTATGCAATATTTCAGGCTGTCTGCTTTTATACTGCCCTCCACACCTTGCTCTCCAAGAACCTCAGAGAAATTCTGGGTCCAGTTATTGATCATCTGACATGGGATTGTCTCTCCTCTTACTTTGAATAGGATGAAAAGAATAGGAATCGGAATGGTGTTGTGAGAAGGCTGTGGGGAAGACATTTCCTCCTGAAGGCAATCAGTTTTGTGGCTATATTTATCTTTTATGAAATGGAATTGCAAAGCTGTGGGCCCACGTCAGAGATGCATGAATTTATTTTAAATATCAACCAGATTTAGGGTGTTTATTCTTCGCATTTCTTCCTCATTGCTTTCCATAGTCTAAGATTATCTGCGTTGATAGTTTCTGTTCTGACCATTGAATATTGAGGATGTGCAGGCCAAACAGCGTAACAAAAGAGCAGAGTATCAACCTAACCGGTATCTGCTCAGAAGGTGGTGACAGGCCTTTGATTTCTTACTTTAACTAAGGAGAAGCCTTTTGGTTTGATAGCAGCATCGCAGCAAAGGATCCCCATTTCTGGCAGTGACCTGGAGTTTCTTTCTCTCCATATTCCTTGAACTTGGAGGAAGAGGTGACAGCTGTATAAACACCTTCTTTTTGCTGATTTACAGAATTACATAGGTCTCCAAGGAGCACTTTACCAGCTCGTAAAGCAAAAGCTGAATGCAGCATACCATTTATCACAGTCTTGATGTAGGGCAGAATTTAGGGCTCCAGTTGGGGGAGGGAAGGGTGCCCCCCCCCCCAAACGAAGCATTATGGAGCTCTCAAGCTCGTACTGTTCATTCAAGGCTATATATGATAAGGTGCGTGAAGGTTATTGCCATCAAGAACAAAATATTGATGATTTCATAAAGAAACAAATTCTTACCATGTGAAGTGACTAATTACACTTTAATGTTAGTCATGAGGGCAGAAAAGACCAGTGTTTGCATAAAGCATGATAGGCATATTTTAAGTCAGGTCTTGCTCTGCTGTGTGTTGCTTCCTCTTACTCGGTTCCCAAGCCACACTCCCTTTTTACTGTCTTTTTTTTTTTTTTATCTGTGACATCTGCTTGGAGCTTGTCCCTCCTGTGATACCATACTACTTGCAGCTGTTCAGACCTCCAGCTCTGAGCTGTGCATGGGGTGCCCTGAGCATACGGCCTTTTTGATGTGTGATAAAACAGAACCAAGCCACTGGGGGTATGGAGAGGGAATGCATCAGAATATCAATAAACCTGTTCTGAACAAAGCTGCAGCTCTGTGGTGGAATAGACATTTCACTGAAGTGTCAAGTAGATGGATAATGTATTCTAATTAGAGATTGACTGATACCCTGGAATTCAGAGACCTTTGGAAATAAAGTCCAAAAAGCTAACTATGTATATAGAGCTTATTTATTATGCATTTGAGTGCCCTAAATGTCATTTGCTACCAGCAGCTATTTACTGAGCTATGATTTCCCACTTTGCTAGAACTTTTAGCCATTATGTCGCATGGTGTCTGTTTTGGGAGCCTTTCTAACTGTATATAAACCATTCAAAGTTTGTTGCACCTTGTTAAAAAGATGCTCCTTTGTGTTGTTTCTTGCCATGGGTTTGTTTTTGAGCTCTGACATTTCTAAACTGCCCTGATATTTTTGTTTGGAATCTAAAGACTGTTAAACTAGGTTTGGGGATAATGGGCCAGATGCTTTGCTGGCCCTTGGAGGTGTTGCATCAATTTACACCAGCTGGGAATCTGGCCCTGTATGGAGACAAGAATCAGTTTCTCACCTATGACCATACACAGTACATTTGCAAGGCAGTGCTGAGGTTTGTAACGTCCCATTACAAACATTTTGCAACTTGTTTGTGTTCTCAAGCCTCTGTGATTCCCTAGGGAAAAATCGATTCTTCAGCACCTGTGTGACCTTATCAAATAGTTCACCGAAATTTGATAACGCAAACCACTGGGAGTGGCCAAAACTGCCTTGCAGTTATGTGAGCCTTTTTTTTTTAATTTCGTGCACATATCTGCAGGATGGCCTATTCATAAACCTGGGCTAATCAGGGGATTTTAAGTTGTCTACTCTATTTTCCAAAATAATTGGAAAGTCCTGATTCCTTATTACAGAAGCCACAGAGATACGTTTCCCTGAAACAGTTCTACAACCTTTGGACCCCGGACTGATACAGCTTCAGATTTATGTGGGAGATGATAATGATTCCTAGCTAATGCAATATTAAAATGCCATCCCCCCCACCCCCCCTGAAAGCTGTTCTTCCAGTTTCTTTACTGCATCAGAAAGTTATTGGGGGTACAGTGACAAGGACTTGTTCAGTTTAACAACTACCACAGAGGAATTTAGATCAAGTTTAGGAGATTTAGTTTTGAGGTGTGAGAGAAGTAGATTTCAAACACTGCATTGCATAGAAATTAAATACTGCTGCAGCAGTCCTCTGGCATTGCATAGATCTGTAAATGTTTTTTTAAAGATGGTCAATCCAACACTTAGCTGGCTATAACAAGGACTTTAGGGAGCAAAAGGCTCTTTTTTCTTTCTTTTTTTTCTTTCCTTTTTTTGCTCTGTTGCTTCATTAGCTCTGGGAGCTTTGGTTCCATTACTGTGAGTTTTCCTGTATAATTTAAGAAAATAATGAAAGCATGCATATTTTTTCTGTGCTCTTGGCTCTTCAGATTTGTTTAGCTTCTTTTTTATACACGGTGTGGGCTGGTAGCCTTTTGAATATTTCAAAGTAGTGGGAATTGTGGGTTTTTCCCCCAAGAAAGAAGACACTTGTTTGGATCTTTGGCCTTTTTTTAGACTGAAACGTCTAAAAAGCACATTATTGGAATATGTAAGTGTCCATTCCACTGAGGTAATATTTTAGTGCATGCCATTTTTACTGGCAACGTTACAAATGGTCACTTTCTTTTCTCATAGAAGGACCCAACTTTATGCCCTTATTTCAGAAACTGTCAACCTTTTTTCATCTGCGGACCCCTACAACATTTCAAATGGAGTCCTAGATCCCTTTGGAAATTTTGAATGGGGGTGCAGACCCCTTTGAATTGAAAAGGTAGTGTATTAGCATATGCTTGATTGATCAGAGTCATCTTTCGTGGACCCCATAGACATGGTCCATGGACCCCCATGGTTCTGCAGACCACAGGTTGAAAATCACTGCCCTATTTCATCGAGGCCATTTTTTTTCCCTTAACAGTTAAATGGTGACATTTCTCTACGGTGGCTCAGACTCATCCCACCTACGCCCCATTGTGCGACAAAGTGTTACATGTACAGACAGAGGGGTACCAGTTCTGTGCTGAGATGCCGGGCTGCCCTCTGCATACAGTTGGAGTAACTGATGCAAACAGACCATTGCCACCTGACTAGTGTACAGCCAGCTAGTCTACTCCACCCCAATTTTTAACATCCCTTCCAGGTGGGGGTCATGCCAACAGTGATAAGCTTAGGCAGAGCATGGTATAATCCAGAAATGCCCAGATAGCTTAATAGGGAAGCATTTATAAGACTTCAGAAAATAGAGCATCACTGAAGATGGGCTGCATCCCAGCTATGTCTCTGCCTTCTCAGGTGTTTTGCTGAACAACGCTTGATCAGACCTGCGTTTGAGGACGATGTCCAAGTTAACACTTAGGAAGTAGTAACCTGATATATATTCTGTAGAGCATTATTATCCAGGACTTGATCCTGAAGGATGCTCAATATTTTTAAGTCTCATTGATTTCAGTGGTCTGAGACTTGAGGGCTCTGATCTCCTTGTAGGTTGGCCAACCCAATGATTTGCTGATATGATTAAATCTTCTCTAAATTCAAGATGACTCAGAAGGTCCCAATACTAGAACTGGGCAGTTTGAAATATATGACACTTATAACTGGATACTCTGCTTGGTGCATGTGGCAACATGATATACCATGTGTGAGTTCAATGCTGTCTATGGCAGTCATTCATTTCTCAGGTTTGCATGGATTGTACTAAAAACAGGTCTCCCTTACATGTCTTGGGAGACTGCTCTAAATGTTAGCCAAATCTTCCTTTTGTTTTGGGGTTGATGTAAGATTATAATTCTAAACCTCTGTAAAAAGCGTGTAAAGGGTTGTCTTCTGGGGAAGAACAACAAATTAAATTAGGTTATAATTCACTTTGTCAGAACAGGTGTAATAGCTTGCTGCTTCCAAGATGTAGAGAGGGTTTCAAACGTCAACTGATGTCTTAGGGCTTGTGTTCACTGTGCTGTTTGCTTGAGTTGTAACTTGAGTTTTGTCCACACACAAAAATCTCTATCTGGTCTTAACTGGTACTTTAAGCTCAATTTGTCTGGCCCATCTGGAGGAGGTGGGGCTGAAGTCCTGATGCTCTTGGTACTTGAGCTGGTAGCATAGTGGGGATGCAGCAGCTCAAGTTAGAATAGCTCCTGAGCTATTAGTCAAGTCGCACTGTTCTCCTAATCCAGCAGCTGTGCATAATGTGAAGGTTGTCTCAGAGTTGGTGGTTCTTTCAAAGATTGGGTTAGCTTGGTGGATTAAACAGCCAGGTATTGCAGTGATGACTAACCCTAAGTCTGGAGAAGGGAGTACATTGATTGGATGCATGTGGCAACCAGTGTCTTGTAGTGTTTTCTTCACAGTCATCCTCCCTTTTATTCTAATGAAATGATTTTCCAAGAATTTTGAACTGTGACATGAGGCCTGATTTCCTATCTCACATAAGGGGCGGTTTTTTGCTTGAGTAAGCACCTTGACTTACACAACTGAGAGATCAGAATCAAGCAGATTCCTTTCAGCGAATGGGATGTTTAGGCTGAAGGTTTAATTTTTTATATCCCCTCTGTTTGGATCAATAATTCTTTCATGTTTTTGTTCAATAGGGTTGGGTTTTGGAAGGTTTTCCTGAAAACCGAGAACAAGCATGGATGCTGCAGTCAGCTGGCATTGCCCCCAGGCACGTTGGTAAGCAATACATGATTTTTTTGTGCTTGCATCAGGGAGGCAAAAGCCTTTAAGCACTTCCACCCCTCCCCCCCTCACTTCAGCCCTAATTGTTCCTTTATTGCTGCTGTTAAGCCAGTGAATCCAGA